TGCTTCAAATTTGTAGCCTTTGGACCCATAACGTATCCTGATTTCCCTTTTGGAATGTTAAAAATTTCTTGATTTTGCGACATATTTTGAAAGTAAAAAAAAAAGCAACTTTGGGTAAAAAAAAGAAAAAGGATTTTAAGTATTTACTATAAATATTGGAATGGGTTTAATACTTTCAGAGACCATCAGCTTTTGCAAGACTTTATATAAGGAATCATTATCTTTGCGACTTTCCATTTTTAGAAGAAAATAAACTTGAGGCAAAAATTGTTACTTTTTGGGAAACAATTACAAGTGATTTTTTAATGAGTAAAGATTTTCTAGTGTAGGGCAAACTTGTTTATGCAATAGGTTTTTTGCTCACTTTTTTTTTTTAACTACTTTTGAATCAATATAGTGTAACTTCTGGTCATCTCCTCTTTATTTACTGCTCCTTAAAGCATCTTACTATTCTTTTATCCTTAATATCTGTTGTTATTGTTGGCAGTCTCTTGTATTTGAAACACCACTCAGATTAAAATTTGTAAATAAATTGAATTATAATATCTGCTATCCGATAAGAACAAGAATACAATTCGTGAAAGGTAGAGGCAAGCATAAGCATGTCAATTACTAATAATTGTTCCGGATTTTTCTTCAAAAAAAAAAAAAAAAAATCCTTTTTCGGATTAAAATTTCTTCTCACTCCTTTTTTAATGATGCATGCATAATCAATCATAATTGTTTGTTTCAAGTTTTTTTTTGGCGGCAGCGACCAACAGTTCGAAACAAAGAAAAAAATATACATTTAACTTTTTATGATAAACTTTGTACTTGAAAAATCTTGTTTATTTTTTTTGGTGACTGGCCAAAGAAAAAAAAGACATCGTAAATGTTATTTTTATTAGGAAAATTGGTTAATGTCGTGTAACCTTACCAAAATCAAAAAAATTTGATTTTTGTAACTAAGTAAAAAAATTTTTTTTTTTGTATGCCATATGACTTTTGTGTATTTTGTGTGAGAAATTTTATGAATGAAATCCCTGTTTATTATTGTTTAACAACATCTACTTTCATTTTACAATAGGAAAAAAAAACAGAGACAGAAAAATTTCAAAATGAAAAACAGAAAAGACAGGTAATCTTATTGGTGATATAGCGATATAGCGTGATACTGTTTTTACATAATAGCAGGTTTCGAAATTTGATAATTTTACTATTTATCTTTATTACAATTTTCATCTGTTTTGTATTATTCTTACAAAAATACAAAATTTTCCTTCTATCTATTACTATAAGAATTATATCCCTCCTGGCTTCTTTCTTATTTACATGTCTTATAGAAACGTACATTATATGTTAACTATAGTAGGGTATATTAAAATATTACGTTAATTTAGGACTTATTATGAATAAAAACTATTTTTTATCATGCATGCATATTCCAAAATCTATACTATTAGTCATAATCTCTCTTGCATATTCCAAAGTTATATTATCATCATAATCTTCTCGAATTAGTCTAATTGTTGCTTCTGGAACTAAAATTTCGTAGATATAATCCATTGGTTTTAGTGGAGATGATTTATTTGATACAAAAGAATTGTGATGAAATAATGTCTCAATTAAAGTATTAATAATATAAAATAATCCTTTAGGCCCATAATATCCTGGCTATAATAATAAATAAATTAATAAATTAACAAAAATAATAAAATTATAATATAAAAATTATAAATTTACCTAAAAGATTTCATATGTATTATTAGTAAAATAGCTTTTTTTTCAAGTTTGTTATGACAAAATTTTGATAGTAACTAGAAAATTTTCCATTAATTATTTAAAAAACTCCTTTTTAAATTAATAATTTTTGAAGATAATTAATCAAAGTTTATAAATTTTGAATATTCATTCAATAAATCAATAAGGATAACTTGTGCCTCTTTATAATGTAAAAGTAAAATTCTTGTTATACTAATATCAGCAGCTTGTAAGAATTGTAATTTAAGTTATACTTTTCTGATAATATATTAAGAAGTAATAATTTATTATAATATGAATATAAATCTTCATGTATATTATTTTCAGTAGATTTATTGATTTCAATTATTGGTATTTATGGAAGATCATATTGAGATAGACTTGGTAAATTAAATATTAAAGTTAACAATAAATTAATTGATTATCATCTAGAATAAATCAATTAACATTTAAAAAATATAATAGTAAATATAGTATCAAAGATAATTACAACATATCATTTTTTTTGAAAAATACTATTATTCTATGCTTTTTAGATTTTAAAAAAATTTTAAAAAATATTTGAATTTGATTTATTTTTTTTATCAATTTTTCTAGCTTAAATAAATCATTAAGTACTTAAGACAGTTTATTTATTAAATAAAAAAAGTTGTTTCCTATTTAATTATAATGTTACATAAAAATCATTTGAATAATCTAATCATCAGAAGATCTTTGATATAATTATATTAAAGATCCTTCGGTGACTTGAGTTAGGTTATAATAGCGATGGCATAATCTAATGGCAATGATATAATCTAATAGTGATGATATAATTTAATGATGATAGTGTAATCTAATAGTAGTAGTATGATCTAATGTTATAATCTAGTGATAGTGTCATAACCTGATGTTATAATTTGATATGACGACATAATCTACAAGTTATTTCATAACCTATGATTTGGTTATCTTTACGGCTTTTTAACTACTATTTAATTAATTCCTGCTATATAGTGTTATGGTAAGTTGGTAGTATCATGATCTATTAGTATAATTATTGTATAATCTAATGGTGGTGTTATAAACTAATTAAGTATATTTTTCCGCTTATCTACGACCTTTCTTTTATTAAGAAACTATCTATGTGTTTACATTACTCTGTATTCTTTTTATTTCTAAAGAGCTATTTATTTGTTTACCTGCTTCTGTGCTAGTTTGGTAGCCTATTAAGATATAAATGATGCTTCTTTTTTGTGACTGTTTAATTGTCTTTTAAAATACTAAAATGTGATAAAAAAAATGCGTCAGATAGCACAGTGAATTTGCAATTAATTTTTACTGATTCTATGGTATAACTCTGGCTGATCTTTTGGGCATGTGATTTGAGAATCCAATTTAGTGTCATGATAGCATTATGATAGCATTCTGGTAGTGTTATTGATCTCTCTTAAAATTGTTATGAATCTGGTAGAGATCCAGAGAGATTCTATTAGTTCGCCAATTTTATAATTTTATGCTAGCTTGGATTCCAAATATTATATCCAAAGTTCTGGCCAAAATTGTGAAATAGTGTTGGCTGAAATTAAGCGAATAAGTCTTATGCGAAAACTATACTGTAGCTGAACACATACCTAGAAAGTGTAAACTTCTTCCAATTTTTTATATAATATTTCTGAAGAAGACTATTTTTTCAGATACATATCTTCTTGTCTTCTTTTTACGATTTGCTTACTAACTTATTATACGCCTTTTTTTTTCAGAGAATAAAAAAAATAAATGCATCAATAAAAGTACCTATACCTGAGCATATACTAGTGTTAGGGTAGCCTTCTTCCATTATTTTATATAATATTTCTGAAGAAGACTATCTCAGATGACATCTATTAAGAATGTGTTTATTTGTGATTTACTTTGTCAACTTGCTATGTATTTTTTTCACCTTTTTTTGGTATATCTCTATATTATATAAAGGCTATATTATATCTGAATATATATCTAGAAATGTAAAGTTTTCTTCTATTTTTATATAATATAATTACAGAAAATACTTCATTTTTCAGATACAGCTTGATATCTTTCTTTTACGATTTGCTTATTAAATTTATATAAGTCTTCTTCCATTATTTTATATAATATTTCTGAATAAGACTTATCCTCTAGATGTATACTATTTTGCCTTTCTTTTGCAATTTGCTTAGTGTGTTCACATAGCTAGACTCTAGTCTCACTCTTTCTCCTTCTTACATCACATTCTCGCAACTTTTAAGGAACATTTGAGAAATATTTGAATGGCATTTTGGGTTTGAATTAGTAGATCAATTGGTTAGAGAATTGGAAATGCTAATTTTGTATCTCTTTTTGATATAATTAATTTTTTTTTATTTTTTTTTATAATAATTTTATATATAAATAAAATAATAAATATTTAATAATAATATATAATAAATAAATAAAATGTATATAATAAATATAAAATTATAAATAATGTATCCAATCTACTGAAAAATAATGTATTAAATGTACTGAAAATAGCATATCTAATGTACTGAAATATAGCGTATCAAATCTACTGAAAAATAGCGTATCAAATCTACTGAAAATAACATATCAAATGTACTGAAAAATAGCGTATCAAATCTACTGAAAAATAGCGTATCAAATGTACTGTAAAATAGCGTATCAAATCTACTGAAAAATAGCGTATCAAATGTACTGTAAAATAGCGTATCAAATGTACTATAAAATAGCGTATCAAATGTACTGTAAAATAGCGTATCAAATGTACTGAAAAATAGCGTATCAAATGTACTG